TTCTCAATATAATAAANGNNAGNNCCAAAAACTCACACACCAGCGTTGTATATTGTCACATTCTTATAACGGGTGCAAACCTCGACTTATAGAGACCGCGGGGATTATACAAGTATACACACCTTTTTATTCGAATGTTTCCATTGGTGTTTGTCTTATGGGGGCTTATCTGGGGAGGTCGCACATGGTCGTTTGATAAATAAATTGTCGCGACCAATATAATGGTTTTGCGGGGTATTAGAAAAACGTTTGGCGTTTTTTAAGATGAATTTCTTGGGGGTTCGGGGAAGGATCCCTTCTTGTAAAAAAAATTGTGGCCGGTTTTAAGTTGGTTGTAAGGTGTTTAAACGGGTGGTTAATAGGTTGGTTAAAGGGGTGGTATAAGGGATGCTTTTAAGGGTGTTTTTAGGGAATGGTTTAGAGGACTGTGTTAGAGGAGTGTGTAGAAGGACTGGTTTAGAAGAATGTTTTAAAGAATTGGTTAGAGGGATGGTTTAAGAGGAATGCGTTAGAGGAGTGGTGTAGAGGAGTGGTTTAGAGGAGTGGTTTAGAGGATTGGTGTAGAGGATTGGTTTAGAGGATGGTGTAGAGGAATGGTGTAGAGGATTGGTGTAGAGGAGTGGTTTAGAGGAGTGGTGTAGAGGATTGGTGTAGAGGAGTGGTGTAGAGGAGTGGTGTAGAGGAGTGGTGTAGAGGAGTGGTGTAGAGGAGTGGTGTAGAGGAGTGGTGTAGAGGAGTGGTGTAGAGGAGTGGTGTAGAGTGTTTGCGCAGGTTCGAAACCAGGACGGCACCTATTTCTTGAGATTGGAATAGGTGAGTGTTATTGGACTGTTGATCAGGGTGGGACATGGTTGTACTGGAGTGATAGTGGATATATTAACTGAGATCTAAGGTATAAGTACAATTATACGTTAGTTGTTTATTCAAGCTCTTGGTTTTTTATAAATTCTAAATATAGTATACAAAATATAAAATATAATTTAGTTCATAAAGTGAACATTAGAAAAGAGAAAATATTTTCTAGAAACTTGAAATCTGGTCTGCTTATATACCTTTTGAAAACTAACAGTTACCCTGAATGTGTTCCTGTCAGCAAAGTATATCTTTCAGACATAGGGTTAGATCTGGATAACTTAAGATTGTCATCTACTGATTCCCAGAATCCAACAGCCCCCCGGAAGCTTTAGATGCAAGCTTTCCATAATAAATTAATTCTGTATGTTAATTTATTAAGTAGTTAAATTTGAGACTAATTCATCTCTTAAGGTTTCAAATTGGGATTTAGCTAAAATTTTAGTTAGGATATCAGCCTGTTGGTCTTTTGTATTAACATATTCCAAATCAACAATATCCTGTTCCACTGCATGTCTGATTTTGTGATATCTCAGTGCGATATGTTTAGTTCTTGGATGCATTACTGGATTCTTACTTAACTTAATTGCTGGTTCATTGTCAACATATAATTTTGTTTTGTTTAGTGTGAGATCCATAACAGTAGTAAGATCACCTAACCATTCAATTTCTTTAACAGCTTCACTAGCAGCAATATATTCTGCTTCGGTGGAGGAAAGACAAACTGTTGTCTTGATCTTTTTAGATGACCAAGTGACACAACCACCAGCTAGGCGAGTGACATAACCCCCCGTTGAGAAGGGCATATCCGCCAAAGAACCATGCGAAGCATCAGAATAGACAGTGAGCTGAAGCGGTGAGCCTGCACGATAAGCGAGACCATGGAAACGAGTAGTATAAAGGTATTGCAAAACACGATGAGCAGCATTTAAATGAACTACACGAGGATCCTTAAGGAACCGAGAAAGCAGCTACGTTAGCAGAAACATTTGAAGGTTTGGTAGTCTTCAGATCCTCTACCATATCTTCTACTTCATGATAAGAAATAGTAGTTCTCGATCCATAAAAATCATTAAATTTTTGCTTTAATTCTGGAGTAATAGCCATCAACAACAGAGCAGCGATGGCGTCCTGTAGTTTCTCGTGATAAGCACTAACGGCAGATTTAATAGCAGGATCGTCGAAAAAATTATTGATGTCAAGTTCATCACTACAGTTGAACATGGTGTTGACAAATTTTATTGCCCAGTCTCCTCTTTCATCTAAAGGTTTGGAGGAGGCGGAGTTGACTTCAGAAAAAATAGGCATGGTGGACTTAACACATTTCCTACCATACTTCTTTTTTAAGTACTCTAAAAGTAACAATCCTGTTGGACCAGATCTTTTAGTCATCAGGAAGGAGTTTCTAATCTTTTTCTCAATATCTTTAGAAACATTCTTTTTGATAAGAGAAACAAGATTAGTGTCTAAGATTATTTTCATAGACTTGATTTGAATATCAGGTAATCCATATTCAATTCTAACGGATTGAATATCTCCAGTTTCAACATATTCTGACCAAATGTGACTGGCTTCACCAACTACTTGCATAAAGTAATGATACCACATATCATAGTTTTGGACACCAAGTAGTTCAATGGGAATAAGGTCGGTTGCATTGGCAGGGCTCATAACCTGTTTGCGCAGGTTCGAAACCAGGACGGCACCTATTTCTTGAGATTGGAATAGGTGAGTGTTATTGGACTGTTGATCAGAGTGGGACATGGTTGTACTGGAGTGATAGTGGATATATTAACTGAGATCTAAGGTATAAGTACAATTATACGTTAGTTGTTTATTCAAGCTCTTGGTTTTTTATAAATTCTAAATATAGTATACAAAATATAAAATATAATTTAGTTCATAAAGTGAACATTAGAAAAGAGAAAATATTTTCTAGAAACTTGAAATCTGGTCTGCTTATATACCTTTTGAAAACTAACAGTTACCCTGAATGTGTTCCTGTCAGCAAAGTATATCTTTCAGACATAGGGTTAGATCTGGATAACTTAAGATTGTCATCTACTGATTCCCAGAATCCAACAGAAAAGACAAAACTCTCGCCTTAACTATGGTATTTTGTTAAAATTAAAAATGTAATAGTAACTCCAATTGCTCAATTTTAAATCTAATATTCCCAATTCGATGCTTGGGAATTCAGATCGGGGTGGAATTTTTTCCCCATTCTCAACTCTATCTCTTCTTATCCCCCTGGCCCAAATCTAAATTCCCCATTTGCCCTTAAACTCTAAATCCCCCCCAAAAAAAAATCCACTAATCCCTTTTTATTCAATAATCCTAAATCAACACCAAAAATTATCCCAAACTTTCCACCCACATTTTAAATATGGGACATACTCCAAGGTATAAATAACGGGACTCACCATTATATATATGGGTCCTGCCATTAACACGGTGGGATACCATGTTCACCACCTGGGAATAAAACCCCCCTTAATTTTAATCCCGAATTAAGTTAAAAACACCTCAAATTTATTTTTCTCCCCCCCCAAAAGATTTAT